TGCTATGATTAGCCGGTGCTTGCGTTTCTCGAAGGTCGTGCTATGCACTGAAAATCCAGACCACTGTTTTCTGATCTCCGGGTCATAATTTGCAAAATCTCCGCTGTAATGAGAGTTTCATGAGGAGTTAACTACAGTGCTAAGACCATGGAATTTGCACGTTTGCGCAACTCAAGTGCTTCACACCGTCGCTCAGGGCGAATCTTCGTCATGCGTGTACACACTGTTTGAACGAGATGAACTTGTTACCAATTTCATTTAGCTACCAATTTTCTCTATTAGGTAAAAAATTGGACTAGCCTTACATTAAGTCCTTCGGGATGGCAACTCTTCTGGAAAGATATTGCGCAAAGTTCATAAGCGAGTACTAAGAAGGGAACAAAAATGTATCAAGAGGACTTAAGTGTGGCTTTATGTCTTGCGGGTATATTAAATTTTAAGCTCAAAAGCTACGGCCACTTAAGAAATTCATGCGGTCTGAGCGCCACTAACATAAGGACAAGTAATGGTTATCAGGAGCAATCAGGAGACATCAGAATGAGTGACGTGATTTGTAAAAGCCCAAAAAGAGCCATCCAAGCTGACAGCGGTCATTGGTAAGACCACAGCGTATGCTGGAAGTGTTAAAACACACCTAAGGGAAAAAGTCTTCGGTTTAGGCTACATTTATGCTTGCGTCGTAGTTGGGTGGAGTCCACTTGTATCCGGCGGTATGCCTTATGGTATCCGAAGGGCGATGTATCTAGACGTCCCTGTTGTATCTCTTGAGGAGTATTCTATTCAAGCAGGGCGTGGGCGACCGTAAATATCTGTACGCACGTGTGTCAGAGCAGAAATCAGTCGAGTGGCCGCACGTCAGTGCGTATGGGATATCGAGAATTTGCTTTGTAACTAGGAGCTCCGAGATGAAAGTAAGTAACTCCAAGTTGTTTGCCTGCCGAAGAAATTGGAATAACCAGCGTAATGATGGCGGCCAGACACGGCTTCCAAGGAGTAGGTTAATGTAATTTCAAGCTAGCAGTATAATATGTTTAATTTAACTACGTGTTCTCCCATACGTAAGATTCGCCTGATGTGACAGAAGCATCCTTCTTTTGTTATGTATGAAAAATCCACGCGACCCATAATAGGCTGTTCTTTCATACCGTTATCTAGGATGACGTACTACTATATAGTAGACAAGCTAAAGCAACTATGCCTCTGGGTGAAACATCCTTTACCCAAGCTCTGGTTGACTGAACTAATTCCGTCTCCCGGCGGTCCGGACTTCGTCGGACAAGATTGCATTAATTATTTGACCTCAGCTTGTACCCCGGAAGTGATTCGATGGATTGCACTCGGACGCCAGAAGTTGTTTCTTTTGGAAAAAGATGTTTGAGTCTTGTGTATCTTTAACAAGCAGCAGATGCAGATCAATAAAACTGTTTTTGCGAGTAATTTAAAATCGCCGGTGATTGTTGTCCTTTTCAGGAGTATCCGCGATGCTATAAAATCGATTCCTATTCGTAGCTCATGCAACTTGTATGCTTACAGGAGAACGCAACTTTGTATACCCACTATGATTCAGGAAACCTTTGGACATGGAGTCAGAGATAAATGGAACAATTCTCCCGATGCATATGATGGGTGAAGGGGCTGAGGTTTCAACGGATGGTCCAGACTTTCGAAAGAAAATAACGGAAATTAGCCTGCCTGTAGGATTGTTTCTACAGAGAAATCTACTCTAGCAGCGTTCCAACGTTATCCGCATAGCAATAGTTGCCACATTATTGCGCAGTTGCGTTCGAAATAAAAGGCGAAC